GGTTCCCTGGGATATTGAGACTAACGTGCTTACTAGGTGTAGCGTGAATTATTCTTTAATTCTATCATACATTTGACGAACTTTAAAGAATTTTAGCTGTGCCTTATTTTTCATGCTATCAACAACCAACAAACGAACGAGAAAGTTGAAATATATCCTGGTTTATTATCATGCGAAAGTGTACCAGGCCGTTAAAGATATATTATTTGTAATTAAGCATACAATTTAAAGTTATACACTAGATATTACCTTTAAAATGATTTTTGACACGTTACATTGGTTTGTTTTATATTATCTGCTGAAAAAAAAAGATTAAAACTGAGACATGGGTAAATTCTATAATTATCTTCGAAAACCCCCAGTGGGCCAGCAGTAACATATCGGAGTTTTAAAATCGATTCCCCCTCGGTTGACAGATAACGTATTGTGTAGTTTTGTATTAAAGAAAGATCTTCGGAAATAACTGAACGGAAAGTAGATTCACTTCATAATATTCAAAATAACTGAACGTAAAGCAAGTCTACTATAAATTATTACTAATACAATGAAAAGCAAGGTAACTCCAACTTATACTATTTTCTACCAGGTAAGTAAAGGCGCGATATACCCCTACTTCGTAATCTTCCAAAATGTTTGACATCTACCATATTACATTCAGATTTTATTCGATGTTCGTGAATAAGATAGTGCTTAATACCTTTACTAAGCCTGTTGAAGATCCTAAACTTAATCTCTGTAAACAAGTAATCACTGAGTCATCTACGAACGATTTCTAAACTTTATAGCTTCATAGCAAATGTTAATCAACAGCTAAATTTTGCGTTTAACCTGAAAGAGATATTTTTCCTTTCATTATGGGATCTTGATCTTCTCCCTAAATTAAACCAACACCTTAAACTTAGTCTGTAAACTCTGTAAAAGAGGGTTTTATTTTACTGTAATGAAACCATAATAAGCTGCGATCTTTTTAATAGCAACTTAATACAGAAGAGACACTTGTCACACTTAAAAATAGACATGTTTGAATATTATAATAATTAATTAACCTAAACAAATACTCTTCACCTCCATGATTTCTCGGACGACATCTCTGCCCACTGCCAGAGCTTGCACAAAAGTTCGAGTTGCGATGAAAGATCGTTTTAATTCTAACGTTAGTTTCCTTGGAACGTCGCCAAAAGGTTTCAGTTCTTCCATGTGATCACTGATACAGGCAAGGTAACTGTCGCTGAAGGTGTACTGATTATTCAAAACCTGGAGCAAATAAACGAATTTACGAAATAAAGATTAGCAAATGAACCTAAAATATGTCACATTACAGACTACTTTTGTAAAGACTGCAATACCTCAAAGTATTCTTATACAAACACGTAAGTCTTATCTTCAGTATAATTAGGTGAAGTAGAGGCAGACAGATGTATTCTATGTAATGACTATTCAACGTCTGATGTACAAGAAATTTAATTTATATTTACCCACAAATAACTGATTTGTTTTTAAATCGATTACTACCGGTAGAGGTTCACATGTTGCTGTGACAATTCAGTGATAAATCTAGCTCATAGTCACTCGATTTCCACAAAAACAAAGGAATTGTGATTATTGTGCAGAAGGACAGATATGAATTGTTACAAATGAAATGAAAGAAACAAAGCATAGTGTGAAGTGAAATAAAAAATGGTTTATCTTGTCGAGCATTGAAATCATAAGATAAATGAAAGAAGAAAAATGTTCTAAATAGACTGTGTTCAAACAAAAAGTGAAGAGTAAAATAAACTTTGACGTGTGGGTAAACTCAAGAGATACAAAGTATGCGCGATCCACAGGTACGGGATTATTAAGATGGTGACGAGACGTCTGTAACAAGTTATGTCTCTTCCACACCAGAAAAAACGAACTAACATACTAAAAAGTAGGACCGAATCTGACGTGAAAGTACCAAAACTTCGTTCACAATACATATTACCTCTGTAGCTGACCAGTCAGAAAAAAGGGCATTGGAATGGGAAAATATTTCTACTACATGTGACAGTCACAAGATATCAGCAAGACACGTGGTAACCACACCAGATATAAGGTCTTGGTGGAATGAAATATATCAGAACTACATTTTGATTTCGTTTTGCATTAAGTAGACGGCGTGATGCTACCGAAAATTGATCGTTTTTTAGAAGGGTATGTTGCACCCTTTCCAATGCAAAATATTTATATACTAAGAACATACTTTATAGTTAATGTCACTGGAGAACAAAAGAATATGGATCAACTTGGAGCACCAGCATCATCCAGAAAGATACCTCCAACAAGTCGTAGCACAGCTGTGGTAACCAAGGCGTGGCGTCTTTTAACAGTTGAGAACCCACGAACACGAAGGTCATGGGCGAAAGCCGTCCATGTGCCCCAGGCAACAGTATATATACAACATAATAAAGACGAATCTCTTGCTTGGAAACAAGGTCAACAAAGTATGGGTTCACTAAGATATAATTCTAGCAGCTGGGTCCAGTCATGTTTTATTTGAAGACTATGTATCATGATAATATCCCTGTAGCATAGTTTCCGTCGCAAAAGGCTCTGTCACGACGTTGTCTTCTCCAAATCACGCTACTTCTCCCTGCTTGCTTTCCATAATCCATCTAGTGTACGAGGATGGTGATTTCTTAGCACCTGTTTTAATAGTCCAATAACACAAAAATACACTGGTTACTTCGCCAGTCTTCAAATGGAATAGCATGAATTCGTGTTTCATTTTCCAGCTATCTGAGGACCGCAACGGTTGAGCAGATATGTTGTGAAAGAAATTTATTTACACGTAACCTATGTCGCTTTTTCAGAATGAGATTCTTCTTTATTATGTTATGTTATGTACTATTGCCTGAGGCGGGTGAACGGCTTTTATCACTGACCTTTGTGTCTGTGGACTCTCACCTGTTAGAAGACGCCACAATTTGCTTACCACATGTTGCAGATCTCTTTCTGGATGGTTTTAGTGACCCAAGTTAAGCCATATATATTTGTTTTCCAATTCCATCAAGTACAAGGAATAACCCCATCTTGGAAAGTTTAAATATCCGACCTGAACACATCTTTATGATCTGAAAGTATGAATATTTTGCGGCTGAAGTAAAAACCAAAATCGATTTATTTTAGGCGGCATCACACAACTTATGCAATTCCAAACACTGTGAAAACGTAGTTCTGATACATTCCATTCCACCATGATTATATATTGACTATTGTTGTCATGTGGCTTGCTAATAGGCATATTCAAAATCATTTTAATATAACATACTCAATCCTCCACAGGAGGTTTTCGCTGAAGTAGTATTTCACACGTAGCTGTAGTATTACAGTCTCTCTGCCTTAAGATCGTCGTTGTGCGCCTTTTACATTGATTTATTAAAGAATCGAAGATTGCAATTGACTACATCTTTTTCGTCAGCCGTGAAAAAGCCAATACAAACACGAGACCTGGAACCGGTGATGCACTGGGGCATTTGTACCACCAATAATTTGGCTTATCTAACGTTTCTTTTAAATACTTTTGTTACTGAATGATGTTATGCCCCATCAATATTACCTGACGGTCATGTATTACTTTTAGGCCAAACGATGGCGCTGCGGCTAGTTTTTGCTAATTTGTGCCCTCATTGTACACTAAATGTTACATACACGGCTATCGACTTAATACATCAATAAATTGTATAAAATGAAACACACGTATAACGCGTGTAAAATAAGAACATAATGAAAACTATTTCTTACCTTAATGCATTTTCACTAGCCGTCAAAGATGTGTTTGTAATTCTGTACCATGCCGTAGTTTACTTTTCGGCGTCTCTATTGTCACTTGCATACTGTCACTAAAAGTAACAAACAGCAAGCACGCGCAGTGGAACATTTATTTTTAACTTAAGAAATATAATAGCGAACTACATGCACTGGAGTAGAACTACCAAATGGTATTCTATAATAACCTCGCTGTTAACCCCCTAAAATTAGTTATAAAAAGTTCAAAAGCTAATTTCTGACTCTTTCGTTGATGTCAAGGAAAGTTTTCATTTTATTATCGCCCCTGCCCCACCAATGACAATTTGCTTCCGGTATCGCTAATGGCAATCCCTCCCAACTCCAAGTGCAACGAATGTAGTCTTAACGCTGATTTATTTACCTAAACATATATTTATATTTAACAAAGTCTAAAATATTGATTCAAATCAAAATATTACTCACAACTGTCATGTCGTAGAATTTTTGAAATATCCTCCAAAGATAAATTGTTTATTTTAGAGCAAAGTCACATTGAGCTATCTGCTGTGGGAATCGAACCACGTATTTTAACGTTGTAAGTTCGTAGACTTACCGCTGTCCCATCGGGAGACGCTACACATAAAATAACACTATTGCTAAAAATATACACACGTTGACTGTTAATCCAAACGTAAAGCAGTCCAACAAGAAACACAGTACACAGAAAAGAAAAATCCTTTTTTATATAATTTCAAGCTATGTTCAAATCAAACTTAAAATTTTCGCAACTGAAAAAAAAACACATAAAAACGAAAGATTAGTTGAACTAAAGCAAAATCAAGTAAGCCTTTTTCAGCATTTTTCAATGTCCGTAATTTCGACTTGGGAATAAAAGATACTGTAATTTAAAAAAAAAAAGAAACACGACTTATCTCCAAAAAACACCCTTATTTATTCCAAACGTATCAGCTTTATCAAGGAATAGCAGTATCAAACATCACGCCAAAGTTTGTCCAAACTGAAAAGTCACAGAGAAACAAAAAAGACCTTCACTGCTATCTATATTTTTTGTTGAATATATTTGTTTTATTTGTGACTTTTATGTTTGAAAAAAAAGAAGAAAAACTTCAAATGCGTAATTCATAAGTAACTGCTGCAGTTGTAGAACTTTTTACACAAAACTAGAAGAGAAAAGAAACTTACCTTTTTACACAAAACTAGAAGAGAAAAGAAACTTACCTTTTTACACAAAACTAGAAGAGAAAAGAAACTTACCTTTTTACACAAAACTAGAAGAGAAAAGAAACTTACCTTTTTACACAAAACTAGAAGAGAAAAGAAACTTACCTTTTTACACAAAACTAGAAGAGAAAAGAAACTTACCTTTTTACACAAAACTAGAAGAGAAAAGAAACTTACCTCAAACATTTTCCTGTAGAGCGTATCAAAGAACGCGCCAAGTGCTTTGGACAGGTCGATTCCTCCTGAATTATAATAACTCCTGAGATCCTGGAACATACTCTTGAAGATGTATGAATTCCTGTCGTACAACATACCGTATGTTCGAAGAAACATCTCGTGGAATTCCTTCTGAGACTTGTCCAACATTTCTTGAAAGAATTCTAAAAATAATAATAATAACAATGAAATATCTATATCTTAAGAGATCCCCTATAATAAAGTATGATAATATTATATATAAGTTAATTTTATGCCCATATACACAACGATAATACCATAATGTTCCCTCCTGGGTTTTAAATATCAATACAGCTACGTTTGAAAATTAACTAAATAATATAACTTCAGCATTCAAACTGACTTATTAACACCGACATTTTGACTTTCCCCTTCGTAGGGAAGACTTTGATCAACAAAAGTTCCACACAATTGTTAACTTCATTTACAAACAATTTAACACACTTTGTTGAAAACTATGTTATATTTATATTTGTCTCATCGCAACTTTCATGAGATATATCTGTTTAGATAATACGAGGTTGTCTACAAGCAAAGAAAACTTTTCAAAATGGAAGAAAATGTATGGATGGCTAATATCAATCCTTCAAATAGAATGCAAACAAGATAACAGAGATGGTATTTGCATCAACCCTACTGAGTTTAATTTATCTTATTTTTGTCTGTTAACATTTTACTACACTGTGTGCCTGTTCTATTGTGTAGGGATGATACAAATTCCATCCCTACTATTTTGTTTGCATTGTTTTTGAAAGATTGACTGATATTCGCCATCCCTACATTTACTTCCTTTTTATGAAAAGTTTTTTCTCTACTTATTTGCTTGTTTTCTTAATGTAGTGTTTCAACAGACATAGAAGTGTTGTATTTATAACCAAGTTCCAACTGTAGTATTTATTGTTTATCTATTATTGGATAGTAAATCCTGTTTCACCCTGTACCTACGCTTTTTAAAGAAACACCAAATATCTGTAAAAAAGCTGACTTCAAGGGGTAATGATAACATCGTTTACACTATAATTATGATTTTTTTTTAATTACTACTAGTTATTAATAATACTTATAGAAGCGGATACTCCGTTTGAAACTATGTCACCTCAGTGAAATTGGTTGACACCATTATTTTGGTTTTTGAGTTATCATGTAATAAAAGAGACGCAGCGGAAAGAAGAACAAGAAATTCAAACTTTTTGCTATAATATTTACAGACACTGCCAGAACTTGTGACTCAGTCATGGCATAGATATTGTTATAAAGGGAAACATTGTATAGTACTGTAAAGTTCTGATGACCTATTCAGGAGATATTTAAAATATCATCTCGATGAACAATCTGGGCCACCCCTACATAGGTAATGCTACCGCCTGCCTGATAAAAGCGTACTTTTACAAACTCATCTTTTGTACTCACTTTCAAATACAGAGTACGTATACATAAATTTGTCATTTGTGTTGACATTACAGATACCTATGCAAAGCGAACTTTTTTTTAACAAACATCAAGACTGTTTACTGTTGATCCGTCTTAGTTCATGCTTTTTTCTTAACTTTTTGTAATTCCGTTAAGAAAAGAACTGCTGAAACATTAAAAAAAGGAAGGATAAATTATCTTAAATGAAAAATAACGTTTAAATATAATTTTGCTTCTCATCCAATGAAGAGATGTTTTGAACCCCTGTACGCTCTATTACCAGTAAGGGCACTCTGCATCAGTAGTCGATTTTCAGTTCTTAATCCTTAAATAATCTAACTAGTATAGATGGACGAGTCACCAGGGAGACCATTTCTGACGTCACTCCAGGTGTGGTATAGTTGTTAGGGAACATCAGTATTCAGTAACAGAATTCAAGGATAGCTGTCACTTCCAGATGAACTTCTGAGTTTCTTCCTCCTGCGATAAGAAGCGCCATCCTCTTGTTTTCCTTACCTCTCTTCACCCCTGTTCTTTTATCGAGCGACACTTTTCTGTATTTTAATGTCTAAAACACAACTTGAGAAGATTAAATTTCGAAAATTTTTTGTCCCTTAATGATATTTACGCGACAAAATAGACAGTGAACGGGTGTGTGGAATTTCATAAAAACAAAACTAGCAGATTTACTGTAGAAATAAAGTTTATAATCCATTCCTTAATGTATTGTGACTCTCGGTTTTCTGTTTTATCGTTCTTTTTAACAAGTGGGATAGAAATAAAGAAATTGACTTGAAATCCTATTTTTGTATCTATTATTTCAACTTTTGCTTACAACGACGACAAAAAAAAAAACTACTGATACAACTTATCTCAGTTCCTCTGTCTCTTCCTGAAAAGCTAAGAAAAATGTTATATAATATGACAAACTAGACCATGTTTTGACTGATACCTTGAGGACAGAAGCTTGCCAGAAGTGGATAGCCAATTCATTACTCGTGGGTATATCTGTCACTTGTGAAATTTTATTTTTGAGTATTCACTAAAATATATGTTCTAAATAAATATAACTTTGATAATGTCAAAAAGGGGGAATAATCAAAAGTTTATGCAAAGCTTGGCGTCGCTTTTATTACAAAACTTCTCTATTTTAGACATTTTAAAATTCCCCTAAAATCAGACATCACATAAGAATCTATTCCACTGCAAGTGCCCCCCAGTGGCACAGCGGTATGTCTGCGGACTTACAACGCTAGAAACCGGGTTTCGATACCCGTGGTGGGCAGAGCACAGATAGCCCTTGTGTAGCTTTGTGCATAATTAAAAACAAACAAACAATCCACTGCAAGTAAAGTAAGATTCGAAATCACATACAGTTAAAAACATATTAACAACCATTTACTCTGTGGTCCTTTTTTCCCTTCTAGATGAAGAGGGAAAATCAATTCAAAACACACGACAAACGTCAGCAAAGTAACAATGGATAAAAAATATATCGATAACCTGAAACGAAGCGAACTAAAGAAATTGGAACTCCACTAAAGATCTGACTCTGGTCAATTTTCTGACTACTGTAGATTTACTCGAACCAGAAGGTCTGAAAGACGTTCATAAATCTACAAAATTTTCCTCATCCAGGCAGACGGAACTTACACCAAGAGAATATTTGATCGATAGGCCTGAATGATTCACTATTTCACATCGTTTGTACACTATCAAGGCAGGCGCTCTGCAACGCGGTCACATGACAGCAAAGGAACATGGAAGTGTTTTGAAAGCAAAGATGTCTTTAATATTAGTTCTTCGGAAGATGCATTCTCAGGGGATATCAGGGCTCAGTCAACCACTCCATTCTTTAGTCTGTTCCTGCTTTAGCGGGGAATTTATCAAACATATTTACACAAAAGCGATAACGTTGTCTCAGGAAACATGATACTGAAAAAACTTGGAGACAAAGAAAGCGAAGGAATAGTTCATGAACTGTGACTGATTTCATACAGAAAGGAACATCTTATCGAATCATATTTTCAAAGAAATTCGTTTATATAAGTACTACTCAAACGAGTTTTGATCATGTGGTAGTTTACATATTAAAAAGAAAGATTTTTCCTAATAAAAACTGTAATATGTATTACATTATAAAGAGGTAATTTAAATTAAAAATATATATCGTCATGTACGTCAAAATACTGTTGTATTTTTTTTTATTTGTAATTATGCACAAAGCTACACACTGGGCTATCTGTGCTCTGCCCACCACGGGTATCGAAACCAGGTTTCTAGCGTTGTAAGTCCGCTGAAAATACTGTTGTTTGAAGTTAAGCATAAAGCTACACAATGGGCTATCTATGCTCTGCCCACCACGGGTATCGAAACCCGGTTTCTAGAGTTGTAAGTCCGTAGACGTACCGCTGTACCACAGGGGGGGGGGGATGGCGTCTAAATATCAAACATTACTCACACAAACAACTAGGAAGAAATGTCATATCGGTGTTAATCTTAAGAGTAAAAAAAACGACAAAAAATTAAATAGTAACTATTTCCGATTTTTTTTAACCGATAGCTTACGAAAAACAAAATACTGGCTAACTTTTACAGAAAATATACGAACTAGGAGGTCAGCGCAAATAGAAAAAAGAAAAACATGACATCATATGCTTTTGTTTGTTTGAGCTGTCTGTGCTCTGTCCACCACTGGTATCGAAACCCGGTTTCTATTATTGTAAGTCCGCAGACATACCGCTGTGCCACTGGGGGGCGAAGTCATACACAAAAATCTTTCATGCAATACAATGCTCTTAAAGATTTGTCAACTGGTACCAAGAGGCAAAAAAGGAAAGAAAGAGGGAGATAAACTACCACAACATCAACCATCTCAATTTTGACAGACAAGAGGAGAAGCATAAACTTCCTTCGATAAAATCTGTCCGTCGACATCGTCTTGGGTAGTACTTTCTTGGTTCAAGTTTCCAGTTTTCCTTATCACTCATACCAAAATTATCTTGTTAGAAAAGTAATAACAACAACATGTTTGTACAGCTTTTGTTATTATTCTACATCAATGCGTAAAATTATATGAATTCACAAGAAGCTAGTGCAGCGCCACACAACGGTAGCTGTTTTATTTCGACCACCCATTCAGCACTGTGACATCATCATATCTAGGGTCTTCCTTTCTACACCTCATTCGTTGTCTTAGCCTTTTGTGTAAGGCCTCAATACAAAGCCGATTGAAGTTGAAAAGGCTGTTATACATCATGCATGCTTAATCTTGCTTACAAATCGACTAAACTATCGCAGATTTCAAAAGAAAATATGTTAAAATCATATTTTTTTTGCTCTATTATATTATTTTGGAACGTAGTTACAAAATTGAAATCGATTGTATTATTTATAATCAAAACTAAAGTTTGTTTGTTCTAGGTTGTATCATTACAGCCTACTATATTTTACCACTTTTAAAGTTTATTTGTTTAGTGTTAAGGCTTACCTGTTACTAATATAAAGCCTACTTTCTACCATTATTAAGGCTTACCTGTTATCAATGTAAGCCTACTTTTTACCACTGTTAAGGCTTACCTGTTACCAATGTAAAGCCTACTTTCTACCAATGTTAAACATTTGCTACCAACGTTAAAGTGCATATGCTACTAGTGTTAAATCTTATATGTCACAAGAGCTAACGCTTGTTCTACCAGTAATAGGGCCTTTTATTTTCCGGGCTGTACTTTGT